CGCAGGAGGCGGGAGGGGGCTGCTGGAGGGAGACGCACCCTCCCTCCTCGCACTCCTCCCGCTCGGCTCCCGCAGGCCGCCGGCAGCGCCGGGGCAGAGGTTCCTGGTCTTCTGAGAGCTTTCCGGCCACTCCTGGTCCCCACAGGCCTCCGCCCCGGCCGCAGCCTCCTGGCCGCACCACGCAGTCAGAGGCTCTCCGGTGCCAGAGCCAAGCCTCACCCCGTCCCCGAAGCTGCTCCAAACCACGCGGCTGAGCGGCCGCCAAGTTAACCTCCTCCAGCGACTGCCGCCGGCTGCCGGCCGGGCCTCGCACGTCTGGCGGCAGCGGCTCCCGGGCCAGGGTGCTCTCCCGGCCGCCAGCTCGGGCGTCTGGTCCAAGCGGGCAGAGCGGCCTCATCAGATTCCTTGGGCGACGGGACAGAGTGGGAGCAGGAGAGAGGAGATGGCCCCCCTCCCCGCGGCCCCAGGGCCTGGACGGCCGCCCGCAGAGGCGTCCAGCGCGGAAGCTTCCGGGGCGGCCCCCGGAGAGCGAGGTCCGGCCGCACGGAGAAGGCCGCACGCGGAGAACACCGCTCTGTGCCAGGCCGGCGGCCAGGACGCACCCTCCCGCCAGCGCCGGGCTCTGGTGGAGCAGCACAGGAAGAGGCGTGCTGGGGGGCGGGGCCTGGGCTGGGGGGCCTGAGAGGGTTGGGGGGCCTGAGGGTCGGGGGGGCCGTGCTACGTCACCCACATTCCTGAGGCCGGAGGACAAGGCAGGCTCTTCCAGGGAGAAGCAGCCAGACGGAGGTCGCTGTCCCGGGGGGAAACCGAGGCACGAGGCCACCTGGAGCGGGGCTGGTAAACTGCTCTTAAAGGGCCAGGCTCTAAACAGCCCAGGCGTTGCTGGCCCTCTGGTCCCTGTTGTAGCAGGAAACAGGTGGCTGTGTGCCAGTAAAACTTTATTTGCAACAACAGACGCCGGCCCGCGTGCTGTGGTCGGCCAGCCCCTGGCCTGGAGGTTTGAAGTGAGAAGACCCACGAGCCATCGCTGGAGGGGAGTCCCCCTGGGGAGGCTCTGGTTAGAGATTAAATCTGTTCTTACAAGATTCTGTCGTCCCACACAGACCCGCCTCGCCCTTCCGGCCCCCGGCCCCCGGCCCCCAGCCCAGGCTGCAGGGCTGAGGCCGGGCGGCCCGGTGGACGGGGGCTCAGGCTCCCTCCGTCCACCCACCCCCAGAGGAGGAGAAGCTCCGGCTCTGAGCAAAGGCCGGTCCCGGTGCCCCCGACGCCAGCCTCCGAAGAGGCCCCACAGACTCCGAAGCCCCACACAGACCGCCCTGCCCGCACCCTCCTCCCCGGCCCCACCCCCGCCCTGGGAGGCAGGTCTCTCAGGGCCCAGGCTGGGCAGCTGGGAAGGCCCATGGAGCAGGGGCAGCGCCTTCATTTTCTCTCTCACCCCCCCGCCCCGCACGCTGAGCCGCAGGTGCTGCTGGGAACACGGCTCCTCGCGTCCCGGCTCCCGGAGGAAACCCTCAGCGTCCCACCCGGGCCCTGTCAGCGTCGCCACTTCCACCGGCTTCCCGGCCTCATCCAGGACGGTGACAACGTCCCCCAGGCCGTCAGGACAGCGCAGACAGTGGCCACAGCGGCCAGAGGGTCATGTGAGATCCCAGCTGCTGTCCTGGGCGGCCCTGACCTGAGCAGCTCCCTGTCCCACATCAGAGCCCGCGTCCAGGGGCGGTCTGTCCCATCACGGCCACCACGGCCACCAAGGCCACCACGGCCCACGGGGAAGACTGCCTCGGCCACCCTCGGCCCCATGAGGCCAGCCCCGCTCCCCCCAAGCCTAAGGGGTCACCAAGATGGGATGGGCCTGGGACCCTAAGCCCCGCCCATTGGGAAAAAGCATGGGCCTCGAAGCAACGCCTGGCCTTGCTGTGTAGCCTGTGAGCTCACACTGCACACAGCGGCGCTCCTCAGGGCACACGGGGAGGGGGCGGGGGAGAACAGCGCCCAGGCCGTAGCAGCCGGAGCCGTTGGCTGCAGAGGCTCAGGCCCGTGCTCCTCTAAGGCAGGGTGCAGCCTGGAGCCACGATGCCGTTTTCCAGGAAACGGGAGGCGGCTGCCAAGCCCCAGGGCCGGCTCCTCTGGCACGTGCTGCCTGGCCTGCGGCCTGGGCCGTCCCAGCCTGGCGCCCTCCGGGCTGGCGCTCACCGCTGGAGGCCTGGGGCCCGCGGGGGTCAGCCGTGCAGACCTGGCGCGGAGCCGGGTGGGGACGGACCACAGCCCAGTCATGGGGGTCCGGCTGCCTTTGCTGCCGTGGCCACCAGCTCGCCGCTCGCAGCGAGCACAGAGCCCGGTCGCCGCCCCTCCCCGCGCCTCCGAGGGCCCGGGTCCCAGCCGTAGATCTCAGCGGCACAGTGCCTCCCCGGGGCCTCCCTGCTCTCAGTCCCCGTCCCAACCCCGGGGCCAGGGGACCCTGCTCCCAACCCCGGGAGGGACGCAGCTCAGCTCCTCGGACCGGCCACACGAGCCCAGCCCCGGGCGTGGCGGCCAAGACCCCAAAGCTGCTCCGGGCCCTCCTGAGACGCCCCTCCCGCAGCGCCCATGGAGCCAGGAGCGCCGACCGGGCCGACCCCGCTCCGGCTGGAGTGTCACACGAATGGCCTTTTTAATCCTCCCCCGAGGATATGTCTCCAGTGACTCTTGGGGAGAGTGGAAGAGAGAGGGAAAGACAGAGAGACACATCGACTGGCTGCCTCCTGCACAAGCCCAACCAGGGCCGGGCAGGAGGAGTCTGCACCGAGGCACGTGCCCTTGACTGGAATCGAACCCGGGACCCTTTAGTCTGCAGGCCCACGCTCTATCCACTGAGCCACACCTGCTAGAGCTGCACACAAGCCATGTCATTATTTTACAGCCGATGCCACGAGGCACAGGAAGGGCGGGGAATGTTAACAGCGTTCTGGTGGGTTTCCATCCCTCTCCACTACCTGCACCTGACCCAGCCCTGTTTACCGCAGCCTCTGACTCAGGCCCGGGGCCAGTGTTCGGACACAGGTTCACGCTCACAACCACAGCCGGTGGCTGTCCCGGTGCTGGGAGGCTCTCCCTCCAGCCGGGCCTTGTGCGTGGCCCGAGGGGACTGTGCCCTCTCGTCAGCTTGACCCTGTCCAGACGCTGTGGCCGCTCTCCACGGCCCAGGACGAGGGCGGAGCCTGTCCCACTGGCACAGGCCCTGCTCCACCAGCCCCGCTGCAGCCCGGCCCACACGCTGCCCCTGCCCTGGCAGCTGCAGTGCCGGGCGCCCCTCCCCTCCTCCGGGGGCCCAGGAGTCCAGCTGATCAGAGGCCCCTCCCACGGTGGCTCCACAGAGCGGGGCTGCAGATGTCTCTGAAACCGCCCGCGCCCACAGGCCACGGTCCCCTCGGGCCGCCCGTCTCCAGGGCCTGCGCCCGCACCAGAGCGTGACCCGCAGCCCAGGCTGCTCCCAGCACGTCCGGGGAATGGAGGGCTCCCGTCTGGGCACCTGGCTGAGGAAGCAAGGCCCTGCTCTCCAGAGAGCCCGGGCACCCCAAGCTCCACGCCGCCATCAATCACTGCGCTCAGAGGCCTCCCGCGTGGAAACCACCCTGTGGCTGGCCCTGCCCCCCGTGTCCCTGTGCGCTCCTCCCTCCTCTCCGACAGACAGCAAAGCGCCGGGTCGGCATCGGCCGGTCGATTCCAGTGACTCGAGCAGAGAGCGACGCAGCCGGGGGGGGGGGGGGGGGGGGGAGGGTGTCTCCACGGGGCACCGCGGGGGTGCTCCTGCCCGCCTCTGGGTCAGGGTGGGTTCTGGACCCGAGATCCTGCACCTCTTCTTTCTGGGGGGACAGCCAGGCCGGGAGGGGGACCGGGAGAGAGGAAGCGCTCCTTCCAGAATGAACCGGGCCGGCGGGCAGAGCAGCCCTGGCCGCCAGGGAGTGGCCTGCAGAGCCTGCCCAGAGGCGGCAGGCGCTGCCCGGCAAGGCCGAGCGCTCACGGCCCGCGGAGCTCCCTCCGGCAACGCCGGTGCTCACACAGACCGCAGGCGGCCGCGGTCCGGCCGGGCCTCCCGGACGCTGGGGCCTCAGGCGCCTGGTTCTCCCCTCACGCCCGCCGGCCCTGAGGAACAGGTCACGGCCGGCCCTGCCGCCGGGCCTCACTGCCCTCCGCCTCCCAGGAGAACCGAACGCAGCGACACTCCGGCTCAGAGACCTCCTGACAACGGCATCGCTCCAAGTTCATCTCGTTCAGGCCCAGGTCAGGGTGAGGCCAGGCAGGGCTGAGACGGCGGGGACAGCGTGTGACGGGCGCGTGGCCCGAGGCCGCCGGGCACAGGCGGCACGGGGACCGTGGCCCAGCGCCTTGCTGGCCTCACAGGTTTGACAGTTTAATCAGAGAATAAGGCCTCGGCCACCTCTCGTCATCTGAAGCCATAGCCCAGCCCTGACCGCAGGACCAGCCCGTCCGAGGGCGCGGGTCCGGCCTGTGAGCATCCTCATGGCCGCTGCGGGGTGGTCCCGCCAGGCCCTCAGCACCCGAGGGAGGGGCACCAGGGTTTGTTGTCACCGGTCTGCTCCAGCCAGCACCCTGCCTCTCACCCCCTGCCTGTGCCTGCAGCCCGCACTGTTCACAGGGACAACCTCTGATTCCAATGGAGAAAAACCGACTCAGACAAAAACCTGGCGAGGCCGGTGTGGCTCAGTGGTTGAGCATCAACCAATGAACCAGGAGGACAGGGGTCAGGATTCAGTGCTGGTCAGGGCCCAGACCCGGGTTGTGGGAGGCAGCTGGTCCACGATTCTCTCTCATCATGGATGTTTCTCTCTCTCCCTCTCCCTTCCTCTCTGAAACCCACAGAACATGTATTTTTTTAAACCTCATCTTTCTTTGGACAGGATTTAAGATACGAGGCGAACCCCCACTCCTGAGGGCCTGTGAGACGTGCCCGCCGGCCCCCGCGGCCCCCCCGCCGCCCCCGGCAGGCGCCAGGACCTTACCTGTGCCATCTTGGCCAGGTCCAGGGAGGGCCTTGGCTCGGGCCCCTCCTCGGGGCGCCGCCGCTTGACGCCCGCCTTCCTGTCGCTGAGGACGCAGGGCTGCGAGCGGCTGCGGGCCAGCCCTCCGGGGCGCCGGGCCAGCGCGGGCGTGGAGGCGGGCGCGCTGCAGGCCGAGAGCTCGGCGAAGGCGAACTGCTCGTGGGAGCAGGACAGGGAGCGCTGCATGTCCAGCCGCCCGCCCACGGGGCCCCGGCCCGGGCTCCAGGGGTCCCCCGGTCCGCAGGCGGCCGCCCCCGGGCGACGAGGAGAGGCGGGCGAGGCGGGCGAGGGCCGGGACGGCAGGCTGAAGCTGGAGCTGCGCTGCACGGGGCCGGGGCCGGGGCCGGGGCCGGCCGCGCGGGGCACGCTGCCCCCGCTCAGGCAGCGCCGCTTCTCCACGGGCGTCCAGACGCGGGAGCCCAGGGGCCGCCAGGAGGGCCGGCCGCCGGACAGCTCGTCGGAGAAGGACAGGGAGCGGCACTGGCGCTTGCTGGGCGGCGCGGAGGGGGCCCCGCGGCGGTCGCTGAGGCTGAGGTCCTGGATGAGGCTGGTCACGGTGCCCGCGGTGGCCGCCTCCGGGGGCCACAGCGTGCCGTCCAGGCACCGCGCGGGCAGGCGCTCCCAGAGGCCGGCGCTCGGCGCGTCCATCTGGAGGGGACACTTCCTGTCCAGGTCGCGCCATCTGTCATTTTCTGCATCAAAAGTGACAAAGAGAAAACGGGACGTGAGCGGCCCTCCCGCCAGCCAGCCGCTCCCTCCTCTCCGGGACCCGGCTTCCCGGGGAGGCCCTCCCCGCTCACGGAGGAGAAACAGGCTCCGGAGGGGCCTCAGCCCCGGGCGCCGAGCTGGAAGCAGAGCGAGGCCCGAACCAGGTCCCAGGCCCCGTGTGCTCCTCCCAGCACACTGATGCCTCCCAGGGGACCCCAAGCAGTCCTCCCCCCTCTCAGGCTGGGACTCAGCCCTAGCCAGCGGCCACCACCAGATGGGTGCCTCAGGGGGTCAGGGTTCCTGGGGCTGGGGATGCTGCCTGGGTGCCTGACCTGAACCCACCGTAAAAAAAAAAAAAAAAAAAAAAAAAAATATATATATATATATATATATATATATATACACACACACACACACACACACACACACACACACGTAATTGATTTTTTACAGAGAGGAAAGGAGAGGGACAGTTAGAAACATCGATGAAACATTGATCAGCTGCCTCCTGCACATCTACTGGGGATGTGCCTGCAACCGAGGTACATGCCCTTGACCAGAATCAAACCCGGGACCTTTCACTCGGCATGCTCATGCTCTATCCACTGGGCAACACTGCCTAGGGCCCAAATCCACTTTAAAACACTTGCTGACAATAGAAACAGGTGTTTTATTGATTTACGTCCCACCCACCGAAATGCCCCACAGCAAAAAGCCCAGCTGCCAATCATCGAGCCATCCATCCCTGGCCTCCAACTTCCCCTCTGGGACCAGGTGCCACGGGGCCAGACGGTCTGGGCAAGCGGCTGACTGAGGAAGGAGCCACAGTGGCCCCTGCTTAAGCTGCACCCTCTCCGGCCCTGGGGAACGGGGAGACCACAGGACGGCCCGTCCTCAGAGGACCTGCTTCCTGTCGCGTCTCCCTGGAATTTCCCCGTCTCTAGGGGAATCTCGGAGGAAGGGGAACTGGGAGTCGGTGAGCGTGGCCACTGTGCTCCCGCCGTGCCATCCAGGGCTGGGGCCTCGGGCTCTCTGGCCTCCCGCCTGGTCAGTCCCACGTCCTCGCCGCCTTCCGAGGAGCTCCCAGGCCCACCCCTGCCGTAGCCTGTCCCCTCCGGCCGCTGCCCACGGCCCCCAGAGAGCACGCCTGTGACGTCAGGAGCCGAGGATCAGGCCGAGTGAAAACCACCCATGAAAATACCAAAATAAAAAAAAAAAAAACCCTGCAGAGTCCTCCTCAGGCACCAGAAGGTAAGTGTGAGACTGAAGCGTCGCCTGGCCAGGAGTCTGTGGCTGAGCATCAGCTCACGAACCAGGAGTTCGATGCTGGGTTGCGGAATCCTCCCCAGTAGGAGGTGGGGGTGCAGAAGGCAGACGACTGATGACTCTCATCACTGATGCTTCTAGCTCTCCCTCTCCCTTCCTCTCTCTGAAATCAATCAATCAATAAATATAATTTTTAAAAATAGAAAAAACAAACAAAAAAACCCTGAAGTTTGATGAACCGACTGCAGCAATGAGGACGGTAACTTCCATCGATCGGCAGAGGTTGGCGTTCCATTTGTTTCCAGGTTAACCACAAACCCCACGGGGCCGGCTGCATGGCCAATTGGAGGTGCCTGCCACCCACTCTCCGGGCAGCCCCTCGGCCTCAGTGGGGAGAGAAGGGTCTGCAGAAAGCAGCGAGTGACAAGTGCAGGCAGAAGCTCAGAGCAGGCCCAGGCTGTGTGCGTGGTCTCACTTGTCTTTTTTTTTTTTTAATTAACATATTTTTATTGATTTTAGAGAGAAAGGAAGAGGGAGAGAGAGACATCAATAATGAGAGGGAATCATGGATGGGCTGCGTCCTGCACGCCCCCTACTGGGGATGGAGCCCACAACCCGGGCCTGGGCCCTGACTGTGATCTCCTGGTTCCCAGGTAGATGTTAAACCGCTGGCCCAGGCCGGCCGGGGGATCCGCCCTGTCTTTGCGCCCAGCACACGCCCCCTTCCCGGGCCAGGCCGGCCCAGCCTGTGGGTCCTTGAAGCCCCGCCCCCCCGGGCCGGGGACAGGTGTGCGCGGACAGGTGTGCCGGGACAGGTGTGCAGGAAGCAGCGGGAGACGGCTGAGGACTGGCCTCTAAGGTACCGCCCGCCGGGCCCAGGCGCCGAGCACGGCTCTGGAGCGTCTGTCAACACAGGCAGGTGGCCTGGCCGCCAGCGGCAGATAACCTGTCATTGTTCTATCTTTATCCTCGGAGAATGTGTAAGAGCAGCAACAATGGGCTATGTTTAGCCTCGTGTGTGTGTGTGTGTGTGTGTGTGTGTGTGTGTGTGTGTGTGTGTTTCCCCCTCCGCTCAGGGCCCCAAACAAAGGAGACAGTCACGCTGCACAGAGGAACGGGCGGCTGGGGAGGGGACTCCGGACACCCGCCCTGCCTCCTGTCACTTCTGCACAAACCACAGCGACCGAGGCCACCGACTCGGGTCCGCTGAGCCGGCAGCACGAGGGGGCGGGAAGGGTGCGGCCAGCGCTGAGCTCGGCTCCACAGGCCCTGCAGCCTGGGGCCCTCCCCGGGGATGAGGTGACAGCGGCGGGGTCAGTCCCTGCGGCTGTGGCTGGGACGGGAGCCTGTGTGCTGCGCTCCGGATCCTCAGTGTGGTTTCGGGGCCCCCAGCGGGGGCGTATTTTGGGGTGTCTGTCAGAGTGCAGAGCCCTGGCTCAGTCCCGGACTTGCAAACGAGCTCCGGGGTGGAGCCGGCATGTTAGTTCGCTGCCCGGGCGTTTTCCTGTGAGAGGGTGAGAGCCCGCCCGAGACGCCTCAGCCCGGAGCGCAGCCCCGGGAGCGTCGGGGTGGACGGCCAGTCCCCGCGCAGCCGGCGCTGAACCACTGCCCGGGTCCGTGCTGCTTATCCTGTTGGGCCGACAGCAAAGCAGAACCACGGGGGGAACAACCCCACCTCCACCCCCAGGGTGCCTTTCACAGCGGGGGCGGGGGAACCCCAGCGGCACAGGCGTTCTGGGGAGCCCACAGTCTGTGAGAAGAGAGGGACCACTGCCTCCCCCGACACCTGTGGCTTCTCAGGGAGGCTTCTGGCACCACGCTCCGCAGATGTCAGCAGATGTGGGCTCCGGGGCGGGGACACACACACACACACACACACACACACACACACGCCACCAGGCCTGTGAGCTCAGGGGGTGGCATGTGGCCTGGGAGGTTGGGCACCCCAGTTCCAGGCCATCCCCACAGGAGCATCGAGTGTCCCCGTTTCCCTGCTGAGCCCATCTTTGGGGGCTGAGGTGTACACAGGAGTGTGTGGGAGCCATGTACTCACAGGGCCTGCCTACAGACGGGGGGGGGGGGGGGGGGGGGGGCTGGACAAACACATAGAAAGCACAGGCACCATCCGGCTCCCCCACGGGCACACGGGCCAGGGGCCGTCCAATGCCTGAGACTGAGCAGCCTCTGCCTCCCCCCCTCCCCCGCCTCCAGCACACGGGGTAGGAAGATGACCCCCAGCACTCATGGGGCTCGGTGCTGAGGCCCCCGGCGGAGGGCAAGACCTCGGGGTGCAGAGAGCACGAGCTCGGAGGAGGAGACACGCAGAGCATCACACGCAGCCTTTAACCCCAAACGCGCTGCTCCACCTGCCCTACTGGGGGCGTCCCAGGGCCCACCCCCTCCCAGATTCCCAGGCAGAGGACGCGTGGCCCGATCTCTGTGCCCGTCCCGGACCTGCCCACGGCGACGCCCACGGCAGCACCAGCTGCCAGAGAAGGCGAAGCACTGACGCTTGGCCCGCGATGCGCAGCTCCAGGCCCAGCCGGGCGGGACCTCTGCACACCCAGGCGCTGGCTCCTCTGGGAGTTCACACCCAGGCGCTGGCTCCTCGGGAGTTCACACCCAGGCGCTGGCTCATCGCGGGAGGCCGGCCCGGGTGTGGCTCAGCTGCTGAGCATTAACCCGTGAACAGAGGTCAGCGTTCGATTCCCGGTCAGGGCACAGGCCCGGGCTATAGACTCAATCCCCAGTGTGGGCGTGCAGGAGGCAGCTGGTCAATGATTCCCTCGCCGTTGATATTCCTCCCTCTCTCCCTCTCCCTCCCTCCCTCCCTCCCTCCCTCTCTCTCTCTCCCCCCCCCGAAATCAATTAAAAAAAATATGTATTTTTAAAAGCTACCACATCTCAGAGAGAAATCTTGGTTTCCCCCACGGACACCAATCCCGAGTGGCCCCGGGAGCCCCTTCAGGCAGGAGGAGACGTCACAGCCACGAATCAAACACGGCCGAACGGGCTTGTAATTAAACCGCCGACAGGCCGAGCGGGGTGCTGTGATCCTTGTACGATTCCTTCCTATGCATCATGTATGACCCTCACACTGCCTGTGTCCGCAGCCTGGGGAGTGATTTACATTAGTAAGTAATTTATTGCCATAACTCCTGAAGTAATTATGGGTTTCCATCCGTTTCTTTTCTTTTTAGCGGACGAATGGTTTGCTCTGTCCGCAGACTCGTTTCCACGCCTCTTTGCTGCGGCCACTGAGAGCGCGCGTTCTGGGGACATCGATTCCCAGGCCTTCTCCTCGCCCGGGGGGTGAAGAAAGTGGGCCGTGTAGTGTCCACTGTCCCTGCAACTCGGACCTCATTTAACAGGGGCAACTGACGGGGGGAGGGGGGACGTGGGAAGCAGCCTGCTCTCACCCCCACTTGCCAATTCACCAAAAAACATTCAACCAGCGGAGACCGGTTTGGCTCAATGGATAGAGCGTCGGCTTAGGGACTGAAGGGTCCCGGGTTCGATTCCGGTCAAGGGCATGTACCTTGGTTGCGGGCATATCCCTGGTGGGGGGTGTGCAAGAGGAGGCTGATCGATGACTCTCATCGATGTTTCTGGCTATCTCTCTCCCTTCCTCTCTGTACAAAATCAATAAAATATATTTTTTTAAAAAATTCAACCAGTCCAGGATGGCTGTGTCATGTGACCAAGCACTTCCCACGGCAAGTGATGGGGGGGGGAGCCGAGCACCAGGTGGGGCAGCCCCGCCTCTCCCAGCACGTGAGGTCCTCCCCTTGCGGTGGCTCTGGCCCCACAGGTGCGCTGAGGATGGCTGGTAACCAAGAAACCGAGGCGCAGGCGGCTCTGCTGGAGGCAGCCCCGGGGACAGGCCCCGGCTCCCTCGGCCGCCTCCCGCCCACACCTCGCCACCTCTGCTCCCTCCTCTCCTCCCTGTGGGAAAGCACAGGCCACTTCTCTGTATCAAGTTCCCAAAATGTGGGAGGCGGGGGGGCGGGGGGGGCCACAGAGGGGCAGAGGGCCCTCGCTCCAGCTCCTGGGACAGAGAATGGGGTACTTACAGCAATGCGGGGTGAGCGAGGCTTTTCTGTCTGTTTTATGCTACTCCTCACCCGAGGGTGCATTTCCACTGATGTTTTTAGAGGGAGTGGGAGGGAGGGGGAGAGACAGAGAGAGACATGGATGTGAGAGAGACATGTTGATGGGCTGCTTCCTGCATGAGCCCGGACCGGGGGCAGGGATCCAGCCTGCAACCTAGGTGCATGCCCTCAACGGGAATCGATCCCGGGACCCTTCCGTCCACGAGGCACACTCTCTCCACTGAGCCACACTAGCTAGGGCAGCGAGGCATTTTGCATTTCACCTGAGCGGGTGCCGGGGAGGCTGAGCTCCTGGAAAGGGCGGCTTTGAGAGAGGAAGCGAATAGGAAGAGGCCTCCAGCCCAAAGGCACCTCAGGTTCCGGAGAACCTCAGCCAGGCCCTGCGCGGACCGCGGGGAGTGGCGGAGCTGCGGGCCCCGCTGTCAGCTCTCCCCGGAGACCCGGGCCCAGGCCCAGGCCACGGGCCCTGTATCTCCAGGAGACAGGCAGGGGAGGTGATTGTAAAGATGTGGCGTTTACCTCTGCCGCGCATTGTCAGGCTCTGGAAGGACCCAAACCCCAGGGACAGTCGGGCCGGACCCCGAGAGGGGAGGCACGCCCGAGATGAAACCGAGCTGCCGGGATGCCCTCCCGGCCCGGCCCGGGCGAGGCCACACCTCCATCCGGCTGAACCGGGCAGAGGGTCACCGGAGCTGCCCGCACAGGCACCGGCCTGGGAAGCCGCGGCCGGGGCGGGAAGGCAGGAGGCAGGAGGGGCTGAGCCTCTGGTTCCTGCAAACACCGCCATCAGCTCGGAGGCCGGCTCGCTCTGCCCCCGCTCCCAGCACCGCCGGCCGTAGCTGCTCAGGGAGCACCTGTGGGCCAGGCCGGGAGAGGGCACGGCGGAGCAGCGGGCAGTGCGCGGCCGGTGGTCGGGAGGGCTGAGCAGAGGAGATAAGCTCGTGGGGGAGAGACGCCAAGGGGAAGGACCAGGGCACTCCACACCCCTGCTCCCCGCGCTCCCTCCCGCAGGCAGGGCCTGTGTGGGCTGCAGAGCAGGAGCAAGGCGGGACCCCGGGGACAGATCCCCCGGCCGCTCTGCCGGGCCCTGGGCCTGGGGAGGCCTCCATAGGAAGCAAAACGCAGGCTCCCGGCTCAGCCCGGCTGGCATCCGGAAGGCTCCGTCTCTCTACTTGACTGTCCCAGGGCCTCTGCCGGCTCCCTGGGCCTGAGGGTCTCCCCGACAGCGACTGCCTCACCTACACTCGCTCCCCAAGTCCCTCTGTTTGGACTGGTGTCTCCTGCAGGGACCAGGATGTCTGCTTTAGGCTCCGCCCTCTTCCTCGCCTGTCAATCACAGTGCTCACCTGGCCAGGCTCCTCACGTGATCTCACACCGCCTCCCAGCAAGCCCACAGGCAGGTGCTGTCAGAGTAGCCACTTAAAACATTTTTTGTTAGTCCTCATCCAAAGATATTTTTCCATCCACTTTTAAAATATATTTATTGATTTTTTACAGAGAGGCAGGGAGAGAGATAAAGAGCCAGAAACGTCGATGAGAGAGAAACATCAACCAGCCATCTCCTGCACAACCCTCACCGGGGATGTGCCCGCAACCAACGTACATGCCCCTGACCGGAATCGAACCCGGGACCTTTCAGTCCGCAAACCGACGCTCTACCACTGAGCCAAACCGGTTTCGGCTCCATCCACTTTTAGAGAGAGTGGAGGAGCGGGGGAGAGACGGAGAGAAAAACATCGATGTGAGAGAGGCACATGGATTAGTTACCTCCCAGGGCCAGGGGTCGAACCTGCAACCTAGGTACATGCCTTTGACCAGAATTGAACCCAGGACCCTTCAGTCCGCCGGCAGATGCTCTATCCACTGAGCCACACCTCCTAGGGCCATAGTAGCCATTTCACTATGGGGAAACTGAGGCTGAGAAAGCTAAGCCGTTCAGGGCAACTACAGTGTTTCCCCGAAAATAAGACATCCTCCGAAAATAAGACCTAGCGCATGGAAAGATAAGACATCCCCTGAAAATAGGACCTAGCGCAACTTTGGGAGGAAAAATTGATATAGGACACTGTCTTATTTTCGGGGAAACAGGGTATCTGCCCCACCTGGCTATGGTGCTCGCGGCTCTGAGGCCCGGGAAGCCGAGAGGGCGGCCCTGAGGGGGGGGCAGGCCCTCCACCGCCCGGGTCCCAGTCCAGCCGGCTCAGAGCTGAAGCCCAGGCCGGGCCGAGGGGCCGGGCCCCATGGGCCTCCCTCCAGCCGCGCAGGACGGCGGCTCAGGGTCGCGCAGGGCAGTGTGGCAGGATGGGCCCCGTGGCCGGGCCGCTGAGGTTTGTAACCACCTGGAGGCGTCCACTGGGGGCCAGTGTGGGGCCGGGTGAGCCAGGCCAGGGCATCCCGCTGCCACTTCCTCTGCTGGCCACGCCCGCCTCGCTCCCCCCCCCCCCCCCCCGTGGCCTGTGACTGAGGAGAAGGCCACTCCTCCCCCCGCCCCCCACCCGGCCGCTCTGCCCACGGGGCCTGGGGCACTGGCAAAGCCCAGGCCCCCCAACAAGAGCAGCCCCAACGCTGCTGCCCTCAGGAGGCCCTGCGGGAGGGGCGTGGCCTCCTGGACACCCCGCAGGGGGGCAGAGGAGGGGCCCGCGGGGCAAACGCATCGGAAAGCCCGGGGCGCCCTCCTGGGCGCCGGGACAGACGGTGAGGAGACGGGCGGCGCTCTGAGCAGGAGGGATCCCAGCCCTCCTTTTCCCTATTTTAACCCCCACCCGAGGGTGTTTCCTCTGAAGATTCCTAGAGAGCGGAGAGGAGGAGGGGGAGAGAGCCGAGACAGCTGTGGCCCTTCGGAGTGCGGGCCGACACGCTGACCGCTAACCACACGGCCAGGCCCTCCGGCCCCTCTGGAAGAACAGTCATTCCCGCTCCCGTGAGAGCGAGCGGGACCAGGCTCTGGACGGGGCGGGGGGAGGGGGTGTCCCAAGGAATCACCCAGAAGCAGATGCAGCTTCCAGGCCCCGTCACTGTTACACCAGCCACCCCACCGAGCGGTGCGGCTTCGGCGGGGAACGGCGAGTGAGAAAAGCACCGGGGTTGGTTTCCGTTTGTGGTTTTACGTGCCCCTGTGCTCGCCCTGGGCTGGGCTAGGAAGACGGTGCGAAGAGCAGACAAGCACCCGCGTGGCGCTCCTGCAGGCCGGGGCGGGGGCCGGGCCGGGGCCTTGTTCTGTGCCCACACCGCGGCGCGCTCGGCAGCCAACAGCCGCACCGCGATCACCAGCCGGCGGCCCGGTGCTGTCCGCACTGGAGCTGCACTGAGCCTCACTCCGGCCCGGGCCCAGCAGCCCGCACCGCGGACCCACGCCGCCGGGACACAACGGCCCCTGGCCGCCGGCTGGCCGGCCCTCCGGGGGGACGGGAAGGGCCGCCCTCGGTCACTCACCCATCACTCCGCAGGAGAACAGGGTCGGGCCGTGGCTCATCTTCTCCGGCGGGCGCTGCAAACAACCAGAAAAGCCGTCACTCTCCGGCCTCAGAGCCACCCTCCCCCTCGGCTGCCCGAGCCGGTGCCCGGGAGGGAGCGCGGGGGGCAGGAGAGGGACGGCGCCTGCCCACTCCGCCGCCCAGCTCTCCGCCCGAAGTCCCCAGGGGGTCATGGAGTCTGGGCCTCCAGCACCACGAGAAGGCCGTGACCTCTGACCCGGGCCTCTCCGCGGAGGGTGAGGGAGGACGGTGATGTGTGCAGGCGCCGGGGTCGGGGTGAACCGAGGCCCCGCACGGCTCAGGCAGGACCCCGAGGGAAGGGCCGAGGCCCTGTGCCACCCCAGGCAGCCCCTCCACACAGAGACGGAGGCTCGCAGGCTGCCATTGCTCTCGACGCGCAGCGCACAGCGGGGGCTCCCTTCTCACCGGGGCTTCTACCTCGCCCCCACCCCCGGCCAGGGCAGAACGCCAGGGCCCCGGGGAGAACAGCAGCAGGCTGTGGGGCTGATGGCGCAGCGGAGAGAGAGGGTCCCAGCCCGAGTCCCCGGACACCGAGGCCCTGACTCCCGAGGGGAGCCCAGGCCCTGGCCCTTTAAGGCCGGGGAGGACGAGGGTGGGGCCCACTGGGAGCACCTGGCCCACCCAGATAAGAGGGGTGCGAGCGCAGGGCACTGGTCCTCACCCTGTCCCAGGCCGTGAGGAACCTTTGCCCTCAGTGTGCGGCCAGGGGCGCAGGGGGCCACGGCCGCCGTGGCTCCCAGGAAGCTCACGTTGCGTGGACGTCACAGCCACACAGACAAACCACGACCCCACAGGAAGTGGACCGGAGGAGAGGGACCACTCTGAGCGTGCTGGGGGGCAGGGCTGTCTTTGGGGGAAAACTGGTGCTGAGGGACCAGAGGAGTTTACGAGGGGAAAGGGGTGCAGTCCTCCCGGCCTTAAAGGGCCAGGGCCTGGGCTCCCCTCGGGAGTTTCCACCCGTTTTTTTTCTTTTTAGCGGACGGGAGGGACATAAAAAGAATCGAGGCCCCATCGTGCTTCCTGCGCCCCGTCTGAGGCTGGGCCGCCAGAGCACCCCACCCCACAGCCTTCTAGGGAGCAGGCCAGGCACCCGAGCCCTGACCCGGGACCCAGCACTGAGGTGCCCCAGCCCCAAGCTGCCCAGAGCGGTCTGACCCCCAGCGTCGCCGAGTGAGAGAAAACTCCCGCGGTGTATGCCACGTCACGCCGGCCCGTCACTCTCCGCACCCCGCACCCCGCACTGCGCCATGCCGCGCCGGCCCGTCACTCTCCGCACCCCGCACCCCGCACCCACGGGGGAGGAGCCGGCGCTCTGAGCTGAGGGGCTCACCACGGAGTCCCCCAGGTGCACAATGAGGCCAGGCCTGGCTGGTGCCGGCAGGGCCTGGTCTCTGTGAGGCCCCTTAGCCCACGAGAGAAGGTTCTGGAATCAGAGCCTCCGTGGGAAAGGCAAACGCTGGAAATCCAATGGAGGCTTCGGGCCCTGACCCCACAGGGACACAATCCTGCTCTCCTGGCGACAGGACACGGCAGCGCCCCCTCTGCCCACACCCCGCTTCCCCCTGCAGATCCTAACGGGCACCGCGGCCCGCTTCCTCCGACTTCCTCCCGCAGACCCTAACGGGGCGAATGGGGCGACCGGACCGCGCGGCGGGACCAGCGGGTACCCAGCTCTGAAGCGGCACCGGAGGCCGTGGCGGTGAGAGCAGAGGCAGAGCCGGCCGGGAGAGAGGAGGAGCTGGGGAAGGAGCCGCCGTGGACATGCAGCGGGGCCTGGCGCCCGGGCTGGGGGAATTCTGGCATCTCTGCCTGCCCAGGGCGGCGGGGGAGGCCTCAGACCCTGCACGTCCGAGTTGAAGCTTCAGGGATCGGCGAGCCCGATGCCAGCTCCGGTCTCCGGGAGAGAATGGCCGCCAGAGCCCCGGCCGCTGGGTGCCAGGCCTGAAGGGCCGGATTCTCCCCCGAGCGAGGGGCTCAGCCTGGACCTGCGCGGTGTGGCTGCTGCGGGCGGGGAGGGCCAGGGGCTGGGAAGGGGTGAGGCCCGGACTTCAGCGGGGCCGGAGCCTGGGGGACAGGGCAGCCTGGCCGGCGATGTCCCTCTGGAGCAGAGCACCGGGGCGGGTGGGCAGGAGCTGGGGAGCTGTCCCGGTCAGTCGTCCGGGCGGCCTGCCAGCAGCTGATGGGAGCGCGGCAGGAGGAAGAGCCGGCCGAGGCGGAGGGGAGCGGCGTGGAGGGAGGGAAAGAGAGCCGAGCCGGCGGCTGCCATTGTGCAAGCCACGGGCCGGGCCGGGCACAGCGGGCACGGCGGGCAGCCCTCCTCGGGACGGGGACAGGGGGCGTTTTCCTCGCTCCCTCATCGCTCCCGGGAGCAGGCAATCCCTCCCGTGGTCACCAGCCCCCCTTTTTCAGAAAACAGAGTCAGAGCAGCTGCTGGGAGGCAGGGAGGGGCTGGCAGGCCCGGAGCGTGGGTCGCCCGCAGGCCTCTCCTCAGCCAGCACTGCCAGGGCCCCGTGACGCCCCCGAGTTTATTTTTGTTATTTTTTCACTCTTCCCCCAGGATACTGACATTTCCATTGATTTCTAGAAGGAAGGGAGGGAGGAGGTGGGGAGAGACACATCCCTGGTTGCCTCCCACACGCACCCCCACCGGGGCTGGGGGCTTGAAGGGAGGTACGTGGCCTTGACCAGGAATCAGACCCCGGACGGACCCTTCAGTCCACGGCGACACTAGCCATCGGCCCCCGCCAAGCTCCCTGCAGTTTCACTCTCTCCCCACAGCAGAGCCTCCGGCCCCCGAACCCCACTGGCCTGAGGGACTCCCACTTCCCTCCTCAGCCTCAGGCCCACTGCGGCCGTCGCCGGGTCCGAGGAGAAACAGAGG